TGTATAGAAATACTACTGATTTTTGTACACTGATTTTGTATTCTGAAACTTTGCTGAGGTTATCAGATGTAGGCACTTTTTGGCAGAGACTATGTGGGGTTTTCTAAGTATAGAATCACATCATCTGCAAACAGGGATAGTTTAATTCCTCTCTTCCTATTTGGATGCCTTTTATTTCCTTCTGTTTCCTGATTGCTCTGGCTAGGACTTCCAGTACTATGTTGAATAGGAGTGGTGAGAGTGGCCATTCTTGTCTTGTTCCCCTTCTCAAGGGGAATGCTTCCAGCTTTTGCCCATTTAGTATGTTTTCTGAGGCTCTGTTGTAGATGGCTGTTATTATTTTGAGGTATGTTCCTTCTGTGCCTAGTTTTGTTTGTTTTTTTTAACATGAAGGGCTATTTAATTTTATCAGAAGTCTTTTATGCATCTATTAGGAAAATCTTATGGTTTTAGTTTTGTTTATGTGATGAGTCACAATAATTGGTTTGCATGTGGTGAAACAACCTTGCTTCCCAAGGATAAAGCCTGTTTGATTGTGATGCATTCGCTTTTTGATGTGCTGCTGGATTTAGTTTGTTAGTATTTTGTTGTGGATTTTTGCAACTGTGTTCATCAAGGATATTGGCCTGAAGTTTTCTCTCTCTCCTCTGGCCCCCCCACATTTTTCTTTTTCTGTTATGGCTCTGCCAGGTTTTGGTATCAGGATGATGCTGGCCTCATAGAATGATTTAGGGAGAAGTCCATCCTCCTCATTTTTTGGAATAGTTTCAGTGGGAATGGTATCATCACTTTTTTGTACACCTGGTAGTATTTGGCTGTGAATCTGTCTGGTTCTGGGCTTTTTCTGGTTGGTAGGCTTTTTATTACTGATATAAATTTGGAACTCATTTTTCATCTGTTAGGATTTCAATTTCTTCCTGGTTCAGTCTTAGAAGATCATATGTTTCCAGGAATTTATTCATTTCTTCTAGGTTTTCTAGTTTTTGTGCCTAGAGGTGTTCATAATAGTCTCTGAAGGTATTTTGCATATCTGTGGAATCAGTGGTAATGTCCCCTTTGTCATTTCTATTTGTTTTTATTTGGGTCTTCTCTCTTTTTTTATTACTCTAACTAGTGGTCTATCTCTCTTATTTATTCTTTCAAAAAGCAAACTTCTGGATTTGTTGAACTTTTGTACTTTTTTTTGCATCTCTGATTTTGATTATTTCTTGTCTTCTGCTAGCTTTGTGGGTTGTTTGCTGCTCTTTTTCTATTTCTTCTAGGTGTGATGTTAGGTTGTTAATTTGAGATATTTCTAAATTTTTTATTTGGGCATTTAGCACTATAAGCATTCTTCTTCAGTCTGCTTTAGCTGTGTCCCAGAGATTCTGGTATGTGGTGAGTTTATTCTCAAGTTTCAAAGAATTTCTTTATGCCCTCATTTCACTGTTTACCCAAAAGTCATTTTGTAACAGATTGTTTAATTTCCATATACTTGTATGGTTTTGAGAGATCTTCTTAGTATTAATTTCTTTTCTATTAGGGTGTGCTCTGAGAATGTGGTTGGTATAATTTCAGCTTTTTAAAATTTTCTGAGGATTGTTTTCTGGCTAAATGTATGGTTGATTTTAGAGTATGTCATATGTGCAGAAGAGAAGGATGTGTATTCTCTTGTTTCGGGGTGTCAAGTTCAGTAGATGTCTGTTAGTTCCATTTGGTCAAGTGCTCAGTATAGGTCTTGAATATCTTTGTTAGATTTTTGCCTCAATGATCTAATACTATCAGTGGAGTGTTTAAGTCTCTCATTATTATCATTTAGTAACCTAGGTCTCTTCATAGGTCTCTAAGAACTTGCTTTATGAATCTGGGTGCCCTTGTGTTAAGTACATACATATTTAGGATGGTTAGGTCTTTTTGTTGAATTGAATCCATTACCATTAGGTAATGCTCTTCTTTGTCTTTTTATATTGTTGTTGATTTATAGTCTTTTTTGTCTGAAATTAGAATAGAAAGCCCTGCTCTTTTCTGTTTTCTTGGTAGATTTTTCTCCATTTCTTTACTTGGAGCCTATGGGAGTTACTTGCATGTGAGATGGGCTTCTTGAAGCCAGCATACAGTTGGGTCTTGCTTCTTTATCCAAGTTGTCATTCTGTGCCTTTTATGTGGACATTTCTACCATTTATATTAAGGTTAATATGGATATGTGTGGGTTTGATCCTGTCATTGTGTTGTTAGCTGGTTATTATGCAGACTTGATTGTGCAGTTGCTCTATAATGTCAGTGGGCTATGTACTTAAGTGTGTTTTTGTGGGGGCCAGTAATGGTCTTTTGTTTTCATACTTAGCATTCCTTTAAGGACTTCTTATAAGGCAGATCTCATGGTAATGAATTCCTGTAGCATTTGCTTATCTAAAAAGGATCTTATTTCTCCTTTGCTTATGAAGCTTAGTTTGGCTAGCTATGAAATTCTTTGTTGGATTGTTTTTTTCTTTAAGAATGATGAATATAGGCCTCCAAACTCTCCTGCTTGTAGGGCTTCTGGTGACAGATCCATTGTTAACCTGATGGTGTTCTCTTTTTAGATGCTAACCCCTTTTCTCTAGATGCCTTTAAGAGTTTTTCTTTTACATCTACCTTATAGAATCTGAGGACTATGTGTCTTGGGGATGGACATCTCATATAGTGTCTCACAGGGGTTCTCCACATTTCCTGAATTTTAGCATTGGCCTCTTTAGCAAGATTGGGAAAATTTTCACAAAAGATATCTTCAAATACGTTTTCCAAGTTGCTTGTTTTTTCTTTCTCTCCTTTAGGGATGCTAATGAATTGTAGATTTGGTCTCTTTACATTATCCTATATTTCTTGGAGGTTTTGCTAATTCTTTTTTACTCATTTTTATTTATTTTTGTCTGACTGAAATATTTTGGAGAACTGGTCTTGAAGTTCTGAGATTCTTTGGCTTTGTCAATTCTGCCATTAGTACTTAAGATTGTATTATGTAATCCTTGAAGTGAGTTTTTCAGCTCTATCAGATCATTTCTTAAAGTGGCCATTTCATCTTTTTGCTCCTGTATCATTATATTGTATTTCTTAGCTCTCTTGGATTGGGTTTTGATTTTCTCTTGCATATGGATGATTTTTGTTCCTATCCATATTTTGAATTTTATGTGTGTCATTTGAGTCATTTAAGCCTGGTTAAGAACCATTGCTGATGAACTAGTGTGGATGGTTGAAGGTAGGAAGACCCTCTGGCTTTCTGATTGCCACAGTTCTTGCGCTGGTTCTTTCTCATCTGTGTGGGCTGATGTTTCTTTGGTCTTTCAAGTTGCTGTCCCTTGGATGAGGTTTTTTGCTTTTTCATCTTTGATACCCTTGGAATTTGATTGTGCTATAAGGTAGGTTCAGTCAACTTGCCTCATTTCTGGAAGATTTTATGAAGCCAAGACTCAGCTTAGCACTCCTGGGCTATGTGCTCTAACTCTATGGGGCTGGCAGTGGGCCCCTAGTGTGGTTCTCTGGCCCCTAAACGTTAGGAACCTGCTGCACTGGAGAGGCCAAAGTGTTCACAATCTGCCGGCCACAACACTCTGATGTAGGGTGCCCACTAAATCACTTCATCAAGGTGTTGGCAGTGGAATTTGTGCTTGCTTGCACATGACAGCAACTGCAGCAATATACAGTATGTATGAGAATTGCCTGGGGTGTGGGACCATGGAAGTGGGGCAGCAGTGGTGGAAGCAGGGCAGCGGCATTCCTGCACCTGCTTATGCAGGTGGTTGCGGTGGTGGTGGCATGTCAGGGTCAGGGCACTGGGGGATCAGGTTGCCTGGCATTGGTGCTGGTGGTGGTGGCATGAGGTTTGGTGTCAGGGTGTGTTAGCACCAGCAGGGGGAGATTCCAGTGGAGGAAGGTGTGGCAGCCTTGTGTGCTTCAACTGGGACCAGTGCACTGGAACTGTCTCACAGTCAGATGCAGTCTGCCAGCAAAGGAGCTATGATAAAGTTTTCCAGGAAGTACTCTGTTTGGGCATCTGAGGCTGCACTACAAGTGGGTGCAACCAGGCTGGAGCCCTAGGAGAAGCCAGAAGACAGGGTAGTGCTCAGATCAGACTAGCCCCATCTCACAGGGAAGACCACCCTGCTGTGTCCAGGTCTGACAGTCACCCCTAGGCTAATGTCTCCTAAAGAAGCATGGGTGTCCCTGGCTGTGCTCCACTGAGCCACTTCCATGCCAAACCGTCTGGGCTGTGCACAGGTTAGAGTCCTGCTTCTGCCACCTCTCCAGGAAGCTCTCTCTGCCAGGCTAAGTGTCTGTGGAAGTCATGGGGTTTCCTGCTGCTAGGATTCTGGAGGTCCATGGTGAGAACAGGCCATACCTCACCTGTTCAACTCACTCCTTCCCCAGGAGATGCTGGGGCCCAGGAATGAGGCCACTTGCTCAGCAGCCTTGTGCAGGGTTCCTAGCATCCTTCCCCTTCAGCCCAGCATCTGTGTCTTCCTTCCATCTACTCCTTGCTTTCCCTCCAAAGATCTGCTCAGAGTGTTTCAGTCTTCCCTCTATCCCTGTCTCTCAATGGGAGATATTCCTCCTGGCTCTGTTTAGCCAGCCATTTTGGCTCTCCAGCCACTTTTTTTTATAAGATAATTAATTAGAAGGGCAGTATAGTTTTAGACTGAGACCAATCTGATTTATAACATCTCTGTTTACATACTTTCTGGCTGTGTATGTCCTTGGGCAAGAGGCTTTATATCACTAAGTTTTATTTTCTTCTCCAATTGTAAAAGCAGGTGAATTGTCACTTCACGGGGCTAATGCAGAAATTAAAGAAGATAAATTTCAGTTGCAAACCAAGGGTCTGAAACATACTAGTTGTTAAATTGATGGTTTACTGGTATTGGTGTTGGTGTCTAGTTTTCAAGCTCAATGGAATAGAGTTTTGGCTCATAAACTGAAATTCTGTTAAGAAACAGTATTTTTAAGGCTATTCAGTGAAGACAATTTTTACCAATTTAATCTATATTTTAAATTGAAATGTTTCTTTAATTTTGAAATAATTTTTCCCAAGGCTTTGCTTTTCAAATGTCAATGTTTAATATTTTGAACACATTGGCTTTCTGGGCCCCTAAAACTCTCTTCACTATTGACACTTTAGGATTTACTGGCCATGTTGTTGCTTCTGTTTGAATTTGCAACTGAGCACTTGTATAAATGGAATTTGAAATATTTGGAAAGTTGTGTATGGGATTGGAAAAAATGAATGTGAGATGTTCCTTTGCATTGCATATTGTGAAAGGGAGGATTTGTATGTGCTTTGCTGTTGTTATTGTGGTGGTTATTGTTGCATATGCTAGTTTACTGTTTTGAACATGATTTGCTTACTGCTTTGAATTTGCTATTTGATGGAAGTTAAATGGGCTCTTGATGGACAGTAGAAGGGAAGACTGCCTGTATTTCATGCTCATACCTACCAAAGCATCAGTCTGTTTAATATTTAAGAGCAGTTTTAAAAACATGTAGGGGACTTCTTGACCTTAATTATAGCATCTTAAAAATGTATGTGGAGATTATACATTTTTGAGACACTACAATTAAGGTTAAGAAGGGAGATAATTTGCATTCTCCTTGAAAGAGCTTTGATACCAGCTCTGGAGACTGAGGGGCATTGTCAGTGAGAGGGCCCCACACAGAGGCTCCTGTGTCTCCAGCCTGCAGCCTGGAGGACTCTGAAGACTTCTGTTTAGCCTTACACAGAAGAAGGCAGAATAAACAAGCTGAAAAGGCTTAAACAAGCTTCTGGGTTTTTCCCTAGACTTAGGGTAAATAAAAGGATCAGTCACTGATTTGACAAAAAAAAAAAAAGTGAGCATACAGAAAAATATTAATAGGACACCGTATGCCATGCTCCTGGTTCACTGCAGATTATCAATCAGTGGAAGGTGATAGAAGCAATGGAAACATCAGCAGAATGAGTAGAGAGATAAAACAGCAGTTACAGCACCAATGGTGCTTTGCTCTGGTAGGGCTGGTGGAGCAGGGCTGATGTATTAGAAGAGTCAGGACTTGTTCATATGTCTGTTTCTTCTTTGTCCCCCTCATCGTAGCTGAATAATCAGCCCTGGACTTTGCAGGTAATAGGTGTAGCAAATATTTTTTTTAAACATTTATCAACACCATTTAAATCCTTAGAAAAGTTCATAAATTGAATCCTATATAGTGCATTGTTCCCCTTAACTATTTCTGATTATATACCATCTTGTTATTTTAGATATTGAATAATCTATCCCTCATCTTTCCTCAATTTTGTGTGTGTATGAGTGAAGAACTATAAAAGGGTTTTCCTAAAAAAATACTTGCTAAGATTCTGCTGTGTGCTGTATTTTGCTCCTAATGTTGAAAAACAAATATTATCAAATGACCTCAAATTTTGATACCTAGGGAAAAAAATAGTGAGAACTTTTGAATCTAACAAAAGTACTTAGAATAATAAAAGCCACATTCCTTTATATATCTTATTAGGCTTTTTTTTTCCCAAGTAGTAAAACAGTCATTAGTTTCACTAAGTATTTTGGACAGTAAATTAGAAATTTGTAGTACCAAGTTTACTATTCTTTACTGGAGATTGTCCAGCAGGGGAAAGCAAATATCAGTGGACGTGTGGAAGAATTTTCTGAACTTTAACACTTACACCTGCTATACCTAACAACCTACTCAGAAGAAGGTTCTATTTCTAGATGGTAAATGAGAGCTTCACAATGGACGATTATTGTGTCATGAGTGGTAGTTGGGAGGAGGGGCAGCGTTTGGACATGCGGGAGTTATCATATATGCCAGGATATCATTGCTAGGTCATTTATCTCTTATCTAGCCAAGTTCATATTAAATTCTGCTAGGTTAGCACTTGAGGTCATTTAATAAAATTGCTGATTTTTAAGAATAGGAGGCATGTTCTTCTTTGAATCCTGAGAGAGATGGTTGCTGAAAATAATAGGAACCATATCTTCATATTTTAGGCAAAAGTCACTTTTAAGAAGCTTTGTGATAAATTATCTAGAGAAGTCGGTGAATTGTGCCCTAATGGTTGGAACGAGACAAGCTTTCTAATAGTGATGACAATTATTAATTACTAATCACAGGTATTTGTATAGTGGGAGTGAATCTCAAAGCTATAATAAAAGGAAATTTGTGCCTTTTTACATGATGAATGAGAAAAGTCACTTTAAAAGGGCAAAGAAAACTATTCAATTATAAAAATGTTGAATTTCCTTGCCACCACCTTTAAAACCTGTATAAACTCATCTAAAACCCCAATTCACTGTAGTGCACAAAATAGATACATATTCAGAGTGATCATTTATTGTGAATTAAAATTAAGCATCCAAGTCATTGCAAACTTATCTCCTACTTATGTACATGCTGAAATAAAATTATTTAAAATGTCTTAGTAGAAAATGATATTGATGGTGCAAGGATAGGCCAGAAAATGAATACATTTCTTACTAAGGAAATAGTGATTGTTATTCAAGCTGCAAATCCTAAACATGGAAAGGAAGTTAAATTGTCATTTATTACAAATCTTTCTTTCTTTCTTTGCTAACCTCAGTCCTAGTTGTATTCACATTTGTTACTTTGTTTAATCCTCCCAATAAACCTTAAATGTAGATATTACAACAACTTTACAGTTGATGAAATTAAGCTTGCTAAACACTGAATAATTTGTAATCAGTCACATAACTGCTGATGCTGGAGTCTAAACCCCAGACTAGGCACACATGCCTCCAAACCCCCTACATTTTCCATTATACCAAACTGTATGGGACTCAGAGTACTCTCTGTTCATGTTTGCCATTAACTATTTAGCGTTATAGTAGGAAAAGTCATAGATCCCCTGCCCAAAGATGTCCATGTCCTAATTTCTGGAGCCTGTAATAATTAAGTGATGGACCTTGAGGTGGCAATACTATCCTAGATTATATGGCTGGCCCCAATGTAATCACAAAGTCCTGAGGAGGGAAGAGTCAGCAGAGGAAGAGGAGGAGAAGTGAGGACAGAAGCCGAGGTTGGAGTGTTGTGATTGTTGGCTTTCAAGAAGGAGACCATGAAATGAGTGACTTCCATAAGCTGGAAAAGACAAGGAAATAATTATCCCTAAAGCCACCAGAAGGAATACAGCCCTTATGATACCTTGATGTCAGCCCAGTGAGACCCATTTGGACTTTCGACTTCCAGAACTATTAAATAGATTTGTGTTGTTTTAAACCATGAAGTTTGTGGTATTATCACAGCGGGAAGGAAACTAATACAGGCATCTTAACAACTGCTAGCTGCAGTGAATTTTTCCTTGATAATTTTTGTGAATTTTCAGATGTAGCTTTGCTTACTATCATTTCTGTAATCCTGACCTCATAGGCGCTACCAGAAAATGTTGAGAAATGAAATTCAATCAGGTCTCAGATTTGAAGAGCAATTAAACTATATATAGGGGCTGTCATATAAGAAGTAATTGGGTTCCTTTATTTCAAAGCAGAATATCAGAAAAGAGTCAGAGGATTTGACATGTTTAATGTAGAAAACTTTATTATTATTGTTATTGTTATGGTTATAAAACTGCTGTTTTTTTAAGAATAGGAGACATGTTCTTTGAATCCTGCAAGAGATGGTTCCTGAAAATAATAGGAATTATATCTTTTACTGTTCCTTCCTCAGCACTCTAAGTCCAAAAGAGCCCTTTTTTAAAATGTCATCTTTTCTTGTTAATAATAGATATCGCTGTGCCTCTAAATGGTGTTTGGTCAGTGAGTTTTGTAACCTTAAATGGCAGAAATGTCATAACATGTAATTTTGTGAGAAAAGGATAGTTTACCCCCCCTAGACTTTACATAACTGAAATATAGTAAATGCTCTTAAAATAAACTGTACATTTTCTTGTGAGAAATAACGTTCCTTGTACTTTATGAGAAAAATATTTGCAAAGTTGCACATCATAGAAGATGCAGATTTTAATATCCAGTATATTTCAGCAGTTTGGTATCAGAAAAGTACAATGAGCTAGTGTTAAATAACTTTTTATTAGAATATTCTCTCTATTGTTAACTTGCCACATTATATGAGGAAACTCACTTCAGTTTTTGTGCCTTGGTTTCTTTGTTATAAAATGGAAAGAACAGTACCTGTTTTGTTATTACATTTTAAAAATCACCTGAGATAATATAAGTGGCAGTGCTTAGAAAAGAATTAAAAGAGTTACAGAAAAGAATATTCTTTATTCTTTTAAAGAAAAAAATAAAAAAAATAAAAAGAGTTACCCGATGCTGGGTAGTGTTTTTGTTATTGCTAAGAAAGTCCCTGAAGTTACCCTCATCTCTCCAACGCAAACATACGCAGACACACACATACACACATGGACACATGTCAAGTCTAATAATGAAATACCCAGTTAAGGCATTTTGATTCCATGAAAGGGTAAAATAACATTTAGTAAACAGCCTAAGTGTTTATTAAAAAGTTATTCAGCCGGGCGCTGTGGCTCACGCCTGTAATCCCAGCTCTTAGGGAGGCAGAGGCGGGAGGATAGCTTAAGCCCAGGAGTTCGAGACCTGCCTGGGCAATATAGCGAGACCCCGTTCTCCACAAAAAGGAAAAAAACAAAAAGACAAAAAAAAAAAGCATAAAAAGTTATTCAATCTTTTGATATGTTCCACAAATACCTCCAATCAGAATTTACATTAGTTTTTCAGTTTTCCTAGTCCTGAAATGATTATCACCCACTGAGGCAAAGAAAGAAAACAGCATATTATGGGAATCAAGCCAACTTTACAACTTGCCATGGCTTATTAAATTGGGTTGTTTCCCCTGTTGCCACAAACAATATTTGTCAAAAGGGATAAATGATCATTTTATAAATTTGTTGCCATAAAGTTTAAACTGAAAAATTAACATAAGTATAGTGGTCTCTCAAGTAGGGGTTTGTGTACTCCTGAGGGTGAAGGGAGAGAAAATTTTCTCTCTGTGTTTCTTTTTTACTATCTGTAAATTACTATACCAACTTTATATTTCTGCTTTGGGTTTGTTTTATAATGTATGTGACAGATTGGTATATAGTGTGTCTATATAATTTATAAATATATAAATATTAGGGCTACTACTCAAAAGTATCATAATGGTGTTTGCACAATGTAAAAATGTTTCAAGAATACTACAATAGTGAAATAGCACACAGAATTTAAATATGACTTCATGGGCACTACTACTGAAGTTTAGAGAAAAAGAATTCATTGACCCATTTGACAAATTCTGATTGTCTACTCTTGTCCAGATAATCTACATTTTGTCATTGTCCATGCAACAGTTCTCTGAGGCAGTATCTTCATTTTGTGTTAATGAAAACTGAGGCTTAGGAAAGTAAAGTAACCTGGTCAAGGTCATATAACTCATAAGGGATACAGCCAAGGCTCAAATCCTTGTCTGTTGGACTCCAAAGGTCAAATTCCCAACCCCATTCTTACCTGCCTCCTACTCTGCTGAATAGCTCAGTATGAGAGCAAAGGTTGTGATATGATTAGGCTCTGTGTCACCACCCAGATCTCTTCTCGGATTTTAATCCCCGTAATCCCCATGTGTTGAGGGAGGAGCCTGGTGGGAGGTGATTGGATCATGGGGGCGGTTTTCCCCATGGTGTTCTCATGATAGTGAGTTCCAAGGAGATCTGATGATTTTATAAGGGGCCTTTTCCCCGTCACTCCCTTTTTCTTTCTCCTGCTTGCCCTTTGCCTTCTGCCATGATTGTAGGTTTCCTGAGGCCTCCCTGGCCATGTGAAACTGTAAGTCAATTAAACCTCATTCCTTTGTAAATCACCCAGTCTTGGGTATTTCTTTATTGCAGTGTGAGAATGAACTAATACAAGAAATTTGTACAGCAGAGAGTAGGGTACTACTATAAAGATACTTGAAAATGTGGAAGCAACTTTAGGTAACAGGTAGAGGTTGGAACAATTTGGAGAGCTCAGAGGAAGACAGGAAGATGTGGGAAAGTTTGGAGCTTCCTAGAGACTTATTGAATGGAGTTTACCAAAATGCTGATAGTGATAAGGACAATGAAGTTCAGGCTGAGGTGGTCTCAGATGGAAATGAGGAACTTCAAAGGTCACTATTGCTATGCTTTAGCAAAGAGACTGCCGGCATTTTGCCACTGCACTAGAGACATGCAGAACTCTGAATGTAAGAGAGATGATCTAAAATTGGAGTTCCTGTTTAAAAGGGAAGCAGAGCATAAAAGTTTGGAAAATTTGCAGCCTGACAATGGGATAGAAAAGAAAAACACATTTTCTAGGGAGGCATTCAGCCTGGTTGCATAAATTTGCATAAGTAGCAAGGAGCAGAATGTTAATGCCAAGACCATGGGGAAAATGTCCCTAGGGTATGTCAGAGATCTTGGTGGCCGCCCCTTCCATCAGAGGCCCGGAGGCCTAGGAGGAAAAAATGATTTTGTGGGTTAGTCCCCATCACTATGTGCAGACTCTGGACTTAGTGACCTGCATCTCAGCCATGGCTAAAAGGGGCAAAAGTACAGCTCAGATCATTGCTTCAAAGGGCACAAGCCCCAAGCTTTGGAGGCTTCTATGTGGTGTTGGGCCTGCAGGTGCACAGAAGTCAAGAATTGAGGTTTGGGAACCTCTGCCTAAATTTAAAGGATGTATGGAAACACCTGCATGTCAGGTAGAAATTTGCCACAGGAGTGGAGCCTTCATGGAGAACCTCTGCTAGGGCAGTGCAGAAGGAAAATGTGGGGTTAGAGCCACCACACAGAATCCCCATGGGGGCACTGTCTAGTGGAGCTGTGAGAAGAGGGCTAACTGTCCTCCACAACCCAGAATGGTAGCTCCACCAACAGTTTGCACCATGTGACTAGGAAAGCTGCAGATATTCAACACCAGCCTGTGAAAGTAGGAGGGGACTGTGCCCTACAAAGCCACAGGGTTGGCTGCCCAAGGCTGTAGCAGCTCACCTCTTGCATCAGTGTGCCCTGGATGTGAGACATAGAGTCAAAGGAGATAATTTTGGAACCTGAAGGCTTAATGACTTCCCTATTTGATTTCAAACTTGTATGGGATTGTAGCCCCCTTGTTTTGGCCAATTT